TGGCAAAGAGCTCAGTAGTCAGGGGCTCTGATGATTCTCGCCTTGTAGAGATGACGCCAGCAGGCTCCACTTTTTCTCCCTTCTTTGGGATTGTCACACAAGCAGTGACTGCTCTAGTCATCGTACGGGGCGCCCAGATGCCTGGGCACGAGGAGGAGCCATCCTTATTTCCCTCTGTAATCAGCCGCCATCTGCCCTTGGCAGTGGTGAGCATGGGGAAGTGGCTCTGAACTCCTTGCCCGCAGGCATCCCACACGGGCGAGCTCCTGGGACGATATGGTTTGTGCACGCCAAGCTTGAATCCCAGCCACCTGTGCAACCTTGGGATTCACCTGGTCCTTATTTTCTTCCTGCTTCATCTGACTTGTCAATGGAAGAAACAGTCCAAACTTGTAGAGAATTTTTATGAATTTTTCGAGCCAAGCTGATAACATGGCAGGAACAAGATCGTAAATGCTCTGAGAATAACCCTGTTGCAGTTTCTTTTATGCATTTGAAATTAAGGAAGGAAGATAAAGAACATTACGCGAGGGTGGGAGAAAGCAAGGCTGGGATCAGATTACAAGATTTTGTGCTTGCTTAAGGGTGGTTATACCTGACATTTAATGGTGTGTTAACCTAGATGCACTAGAGCAATGGACAGGGCTGGCTTGAAACTTTTCAATAAAGAAGTTACAGGCCTGGGGCGTGACTCCCCACTATGACCTGCCCAGCTAGGAATTTATGATCCGATCACCTTATGAGGTTACTTTCCATAGAACCAATGTTGGTGACAAGCCTAATTTAAATGAGATAATGTACGTCATGGGCCCGGTCTCAGCAGACCCTCACAGCAGAATTTAAACAGAAGATTGAAAACAATTTGAACGTTCAAGAGTCATCACGAAGGTGCCATGTCTGAGGGCTCAGTTCTCTGCACTATATTTATGAACCCATTTGACCCTCACAACTGTATGAGGGAGGCACTGTTACCACCCCAGGTTACAGATGAGGAAACTAAAGCACAGAGAGGCTGAGTCACTTGCTAAAGTCACAGCATTACCGAGGTTTAAGCTCGGATATAAAGACATTTGTCCCGACTGTAGATCCAGCTCCCCCTGAAGATGTGGTCGGCAGGGGTTTGCTTTGATCTCTGTGCTTGAGGCCGGTAGTATCCTTTGGTTCATCGGCTCAGTCAGTGCCAGATAATAAAGCTGGGGATAGGCTTAGATGGGCGGCACCTAGGACCCAGACCACCCGAGGCTGAAGACCCCCTCTCTTTCTCCCTGTAGAGCCTTCGCCTGCCTCCTGCCCTCCTCAGCCATGGTCTGGAAGAAACTGGGCTTCAGCAACTTCTCCAGCTGCCCCAACGGCTCCCGCCAGTGGATATGGGACTTGTTTGGTGAATGTGCCCAGGATGGCTGGGACGAGGCCAGCGTGGGCCTGGGCTTGGTGTCCATTCTCTGCTTTGCCGCATCCACCTTCCCGTGAGTAGTGCCAAGGTGGCAGGGGTGGGGCAGTGGCCCCAGGGAGTGCAGGAGGAGGAGCTGCCTGTCTGGCCATGGGCCTCTCCAGACTCAAGACCAGGTGTGCTCCTCCCTGACCCTACCCACTGACTTCCAACCTGCCTGGGAGGGCCTTGCCCAGGCCTGGCCTTGTGCTGGGCAATGCTGACATGCACTAATAATCACACTTGCTACTATTTGTTGAGTGCCCACTATGTACCTGGCTCAGTTCTAAGCACTTGACATGTTTTTACATCATTTAATCCTCATAGCAACCCAGTGAAATAGGTACAGTTACTATCTCTATTTTATGAGGAAACAGAAACCCAGAGAGGTTAAGTAACTTCCTTTAGGTTGCACAGCTAGTAAGAGAGGAGGCGGGGTTGCGGGGAGGAGGCTGGGATGCACCAAACAGGGCCTGTGTCCTATGAAAGTCTGGTAATAGCCGAGCAGTGACTGCAAAATAACGTGGCCACTACTGTGATTGGAGAACCAACGTACAGGACATAACAGCATGGCGCTCAGGGCCGTGGGCTCTGGATCCAGACAGGGGCGAGTTCTCCACGCAGCTGCGACCTGGGTAAGCAACATCACTGCTCTGCACCTCAGTTTCCTCATCTGTAAAATGGGAATATTGTTCCCTGCCTTACAGGGTTGCTCTGAGGATGGCCTGAGGGAGTGTATGTAAAGCCCCCAGCAGAGAGCCTTTACACAATGTATGCCCAATGCCATGGCTGCACAGAGCATCTGAGGGTCAAGGGGACAAGGAGAAGTGAGGTCAAAGAGGTCATCAAGGGCCCTGTAAGGTCAGGCCATTCTGCACTGTTAGGATGTCTGCTCTGTATCCTGAGGGACAATGATAAGGGTTTCATCAGGGGCTTAACATTTTTCAAAAAGCTTTATTGAAAGATAATTCACGTACCATATAATTAGCCTATTTAAATGTCTAATTCATTGGTTTTAACATGTCCACAGAGTTTTGTAACCATCACCACAATCTGTTTTGGACCATTTTCATCACCATAAAGAGAAACCCAAAAAGAAATGAGTTATTTTCGCCCAAATCTCCAAGTCCCTGTCTGCTTTCTGTCTCTATAGATCAGCCTATGTAGACCTTTCTTATAAATGGAATCGTACACTATGTGACCTTCTGTGACTGACTTCTTTCACTTAACATAGCGTCTTAAAAATGTGTCCATGTTACAGCAGGTATCAGTACTTTATTCCTTGTTATGTTCAAGTAATATTCCTGGGTATGTGCGCACCACGTGCTTATTCATTCATCCATCGATGGACATAACTTCTTTCTTGTTGCGCATCTAGGTTAACACACCTTTGAAATAGTTGTTGCTACTTCTTAGCTATTATGATTAAGACTGCTCTGTACATTCGTGTACAAATTTTTGTTGGGACATATGTTTTTACTCCTCTCGGGTATATACCTAAGGAGTGAAATTGCTGGGTCATATGGTAACTCTATGTTTAATTTCTTGAGGAAAATGCCAGACCGACTATTTTCCAAAGCGGTTACACCATTTTATGGTCCCACTAGAAGTGTATGAAAGTTCCAATTTCTCTGAATCCTCATCAACACTTGTTATTTTCTATCTTTTTTATTATAGCCATCCTAATGAGTGTGAAGTGGTACCCCATTGTAGTTTTGATTTGTATTTTCCTGATGGCTAGTATTGTTAAGTACCTTTTCATGTGCTTATTGGTCAACTGTATATCTTCTTTGGTAAAAGGTCTATTCTGTTCCTTTGTCCATTTGTCATTGGATTATTTGTCTTTTTATTGTTGATGTGAGAGTTCTTTATATAGTCTTGTGTTGATGTAAGAATGTCCAAACCTATAAAGAATTTTTATAAGATTTTATTTCAGCCAAACTGCCGACAATTTCCAGGAAGCAAATCTCAAATGCTCCAGAGAATAACAGATATGCATTTTCTTTTATGCATTTAAACTTAAGGAGGGAACATAAGGAAGATGACAGGAAGGTGGGAGGCAGCAAGCCAGGGATTGAATTACAGGATATTTAACAAGACTGTGTGCTCCGTTGAGGGTGGTTACGCTTATTTCAAAGGTGTGTTAACCTAGATGCACGACAAAAAATGGACAGGGCTTTGCTTAAGGGGAAGATAAGCCTTTACTAAAGAAGTTAAAGGCCTGGGGCGTGACTCCCCACCATGCCCGGCCCAGTTAGCAATTTAGGATCAGATTACCCTGTGAGGTTAACTTTCCATAGAACTCCGTTTTTTAATTCACATCTAGATACAACACCTTCATGTGATTTGCAAATATTTTCTCCCATTCTGTGGGTTGTCTTTTCACTTTTTTGATGGTGTTCTTTAAAGCGCAAAAGTTCTAAATGTGATGATATCCAATTTTATCTATTTTTCTTCTGTTCCTTGTGTTTTTGGTGTCATATCTGAGAACTCGTAGTCTAATCCAAGTAGCAGATTTACCCTTATCATTTAAGAGTCTTATAGATTTATTTGATACTGATAAATCCGATATGTGGGTTTATTTCTACACTACCAAGCAATTAACTCAGTTCTGACACTGTCTACCTGGAAGCAGCATCAGACCCCACAGGTTAAGGACTCCGTCCTCCGAGACTTTCCCTTCTCTCACTACAGACACCAGTCACAAGTCCAGGTTGTCACCTAGGCTTCTGACCAAGCAGCTATAGATTGGAGGTTTTAACAACCCCCTCCTAGGGGTTGATGAATTTACTAGAGCAGCTCACAGAATTCAGAGAAACATTTTACTTACTAGAGTAGCAGTTTATTATAAAAGGATTTAACTCAGGAACAGCCAGGCGAAAGAGATGCACAGGGCAAGGTACGGGGAAAGGGGGAAGGGGCGTCCATGCTCTCAGGCTGTGGGTATGAATCCTGGCTCCGAGACTACCCAGCTGTGTGACCCGCCTCGCTCAGCCCCCAGTGAGGAGGTTCATCAAAGTAGACTTGACCTCATAGGGGGCTGTGAGGACTGGATGAGTTAATACACACTAAGGGCCCAGAACTGTGCCTAAATCATCATTGCCACTGTCGTCATCGGGCACACGCTGAGACGGCCGGAGGTCCAAAGAGAGGGTCTCAGTACCAAGGACCTTTGGGGAAAAAACCAGGGTGCTGAAAGCCACTGGCTTTTGTAGTGGAGAGCTCTAGGAGCCACGGCGCCATGCTCCTTTATTGCTCTTTGAAGAGATAACAGTCTGCGGTTCGGCCCATTACCATATCTTACTTATTGTCTTCTGCTCCTGGAGATAGGGCAGCCTTGGGTCTGCTACCGCCACCACCATCCTTTTTTCCAACTCCCTGCCCGCTCCATAGAAGAAAGAATCTAGGATCCCTCTGAAGTGGTTCTCAGGGCCTGACATGAAACTTCAGGACCGTGTAAAAACCCCAGGTCTCCACTGGGAGACCCCAGGGTGCTGTGGAGGAGAATGTGAGCAATGCCCACGAGGACCCTGCCTGTGGGGAGGATGGACTCCCAGGCGACCTCCCTGGCGTCTGCTGCTCCTGCGTCACTGCCCCGCGGTTGTCTCGTCTGGCAGCCTCCTGGATGTCAAGGCGACATCACGGCCCTTGGCCCCTGAGCGTGTGTTTCCCTCTCTGCCACAGACAGTACATCAAGGCCTGCAAGACGGGCAACATGGACCAGGCGCTGTCCGTGTGGTTCCTCCTGGGCTGGATCGGCGGGGACTCCTGCAACCTCATCGGCTCCTTCCTTGCTGACCAGCTGCCCCTGCAGGTGGGCCGGCTCTGGGCAGGGTGGGCTCTTCGGACAGCCATGGCAGAGGCTTGGGGGCAGCCAGCAGGACAGGCCTGGGCTCCAGAATCCTGATCTGTTGTTCCATCTTATGAGAGCCCTGTGTCCTGCCATATAGTGTGACAATGAGCTGGTCACTGCCCTTCCCTGGGCCTTAGTTTCCCCATCTGCAAAACGATCACAGCAAACCAGAGGATACTGGGGTCTTTTGCCTCTGAGGTGCGATGATCCTGACTGAGCTTCCAGGGACTGGAGGAGGAAAGATTTCCCTTGGGAAGCCCAGGTGCCATCATTCTCCCGTGGGCGGGTGGATGGAGCTGGGATTCACTATCAAGAATTTGTTGTCTTCCCAAGGGGTCTCTAAAGTCTTAACTGCTCCTCTGTCAGGCCACACCGGAACCCACACTTAACCTCTGAGTCCCATTTTGTCCTGACAGGTGGAGGTAGCCACCATTTGCTCCATCTGCCTGGGCCAGGTGGTTCTTCCAGGTAGGAACTGTGATCTCCTCTTTGCAGATAAGGAAACAGAAGCTCAGAGAGGTGAAATGACTTGCTCAGGGTCATCCATCTGGGACGTGAGGGCGCTGCCACGGAGTGGGGATATGGTCCCCAGAGCCTGGGGCTGCAGCGAGCACCCCCGCGCCCCCTCTTTCTCTTGCAGACCTACACAGCGGTGTATTACGTCTTGGCAGACCTGGTGATGCTGTCGCTATACTTTCATTACAAGTTTAAGAAATGCCCCTCGCCACGTGAGTGTGGTGGTCCCTCCATGTCAGGGATGCTGGGGTAGCCAGGAGCTTGGGAGGAAGCACGGGTCCCATTGGTGGGTGATAAACCTTAGAAAGGCTTCCTCGGGCCTTATCTGAAAGCCTGAGTCCTGATCAGCCAAGATAGTGGCCCAAGAGCGACGAGCATATCCGGGCAAACCACAGGGCTGCCCTTCTCTTAAGTTCTCATTCAGCAAACATGGCTTCAGCTCCTCCGTTGTCTCCGTTGTCCCTGGCCCTGGGCTTGGAGCTGGGAGACGAGCACAAGGCACACAGGCCAGTGCCCTTGAGGATTCAGAAGGGGCAGTAACCAAGGTCAGATTGAAGGCTGTACGAGACGTGGCCCAAGGCTCTGTTTTTGGTAACCCCTCTCTGGACCCCACTGCCCTCATCATGTTACTTTTACACCCCCCGGGGGGAGGATACCGTCATTTCACCCATTCTACAGATGACGAATTAAAGCTCAGAGAGCTTAGGTCACTCGCTCAAGGTCTCAGCCACCAAGGTGCGATGACGAATTAAAGCTCAGAGAGCTTAGGTCACTCAAGGTCTCAGCCACCAAGGTGTAAAGCCATGACTCCAGCCCCCATCTGCTGTTACTCAGATACCTAACCTCAGCTTCCCTCCTGCCTCATGTCCAGTGTCTACCACCATCAATTCCATGCTCTTGTTCATCTTGGGACTGGCGTGTACCACCCCACTGCTGAGCAGAGCTGGCTCTGTGGCTGCTCCGAGGGAGGTCTTCCATGGACGGAAGCTCCTGTCTGTGGAGCCAGGCAATAAGGTACAGTGTGGGTACATGATGGTAGGGCTGGCTCATCCCAAGGGCTCTTCCCTGAATGACCGACCACCTGGGCGGATTGCCCTCTGGGAGGGAGCTTGGGGATCTCAACCTGCACCTCCAGCCCCTACTAGGCACTGAGCACCCCCTTCTGCTCTCTCAGCCTTTCACTCGGCAGGAAATCATTGGTTTTGTCATCGGCTCCATCTCCAGCATCCTGTACCTATTCTCCCGGGTACCTCAGATCCGCACCAACGTGAGCATTGACCAGGGGTGGGTGGGGCCGGCCTGGCAGCTGGGGCCTCTGGGTTAAGGAGTAGCATGGTGTGGGAGTGTTTGTGCAGAATATCTGGGTTCTCACTCACTGCTGGCTCAGGCAACTTAATCCAATTCTCTAAGCCTCAGTTTCTGCCTCTAGAAAATGGGTATGTTGATGCCTGCCATCCAAGGGGCCATGTGACCTGTGTGTGTCTCAGGGAAGTAGGAGGTCAGGTGGGAGTGAGGGGCTGAGCTTAGAGGTCGGAGAAGAGAGGAGAAGATGGGGAATCAGGCATGGGGGTTTTGCTGGGCAATGTGAGTCAGCATGGGGCTGGAAAGCAGGGCATCATGGGGCCAGTGGGCATGGTGCAGCCACGGTCTCCTGTGGACCAGGGTGAGGGGCCTGGGAGGGGTGGCTAGGGTGGGGATGAGGAGTTGGGGCTTAGAAGGGGCTGGTCCATTTGTCAGGCCCATGTTAGACACGAAGCACAGTGAAAAATCAGCTTAGGACTATACACACAGTGTGACATGGCAGACGGATATGTGGACAGTCACAATCTAGAGTGACTAGGGCCCTGTTCGAGGTCTCTGACCCCATCCATTTCACCTCCAGTTCCTGCGGAAGTCGACCCAAGGGATCTCCTACTCGCTGTTCGCCTTGGTGATGCTGGGGAATACGCTGTACGGGCTGAGTGTGCTGCTCAAAAACCCTGAGGTGGGCCAGACTGAGGGCAGCTTCCTGCTGCACCACCTGCCCTGGCTCGTGGGCAGCCTGGGCGTGCTGCTGCTCGACACCATTGTATCCTTCAGGGTGGCAAGGCAGGTACAGTGGCCTCTGCCTGCTCACGGCTTCCTCCATCCATCCATCCAGAGTCAAACCTCCTGCCTGCCATGCATCCCGCCAGGCACTGGGTGCAGTAGTGAGCAAGAACGGGATGGTTTTGCCTCAGAAAGCTTACAGCTCAGTGGGGAGGCAGACAGGACACACATAATTATAAGTAATTACTTCACTGCAGTGATACCAAGTGCCACAGAGAAAAACTGCAAGAGTGTGTGACCAGGGGCCTATAAGGCTCAGCAGAAACCTCCATGGGTGCCATTTAAACTGTGCCCTGAAGGAGAAGAAGTTAGGCAAAGGCAAGGGAGGCATGGTCCAGGCTCAGCTTGTGCAGAGGCCTGTGCTGAGGAACAGGGAGAAAATCAGCTCATCCAGGCCAGGGGAATGAAGGCTAGAACTTGGAGACACATGTGCATTAGAGTCAGGAAAACTTGGGTTCAAATTAAGACTCTGTTCCTTGAAGCTGTGTGGCACAAGGCAAACTGTTTACCTCTCTGTGCTTTCATAGCTTCATCTGCGTGGTAAAACAGTCGCTGTCTCACCAAGATCATGGGGTGTCTGGAAACACTCTGCATATGACCCAGTACAGCGAGTACTCAGTAAAAGTTTACTAAATGGTGGAACGGGGCCTTAGTTGGATCTCATTTGGGAGAAAATAAACATGGCCCTTGTTTTGACATTTGCTGAGTCCCAGCTGGATGCATTGAGAGAGACACTTTAAGCTCTAGTGCCCTGAAGTGGCCCCAGCCACCTGGGGAAACTCCCAGGATGGGGTAGGGTGGAAGGCCAGATCTTGGGGCTGGGGTTGGGGGTGGGGAGGGCTGCCTGGGGAAGGAAGACCCCAGTGCTGGACTTGGAAGATGGAGTTTGGCTAGGGGTTGAGGAACAGGCAGGCATTCAGAGTGGAAGGTGCAGCAGAGTGGAAGAGCAGAGGCTGGGAGGTCATGGCTGACCCTCCCCACCTGCCAGAGGGGCTGAGAGGGAGGGGGGATGGGAGCAGCCCTAGATGGAGCCTCAGGTCCCGGGGCAAGTCCAGCCCAATCTCTGCTCCGTTAGGCCTTGACATTGGCCCCTCCAGATCTCCGCACAGTTCCTGATCTATAGGAACGCCTCCATGTCCTCCGAGTGCCAGCCCCTCCTCCCAGGCTGACCGGGACCCAGGCCAAGCCCAGATGACCAAGACCTCCAGAAGCCACACCAGGAGGAGAGGAGTGTGGGCAACGGTGCTGCGGACCCTGGACTCGGGCATGGAGGAAGCTGGAATGGGGGGCCTAGAACTCCCAGCCCAGCTGCCTCCCCCCACGCCTTCAAAACCTGGGCGGACTCTTCCAGAAGCCCTGACTGACTCCTCCAGGAGCAAGACGGTCCCTAGGGCCAGCCTCCCCCTGCCTTGAGACTCACCCTCCTTCCAGGGTCTGAGGCAGCTGTCCCTGGGAATCTTGAGGGAGGGCCTGCAGCTGAGACCTTGCCCCGCAGAAAATAGTGCAGCTGTCCCTGGGCTCACCTACCTCATTCCGCTGCTTGCCCCCTGGAGAGGGACACAGCTGCAGCCCTACATAACAAGGACTGTCCTGTTAATTGCAGCCAGCCTAGTAAACGGTACTGCCCAGCAAGGCCTGTTCTGTTGCTCCTTCTCAAGGTGCTGGGGTCTGGGCCCCACCTCCCAGGGCCCAGGCGGGGGCCTAATGGGTTAGGCTGTGGGAGAGCCGAGTAGGAGGGGACCGAGTCTGCTGGCTAGTCTCAGGGGGGCCCCTGACTGCTTCAACCGGCTTCTCTGACACAGCAGTGAGAACGACGCTGCCGGGGTCCCTTGGGAAGAAGCAGAATAGTGAAGGTTCAGGTCTTGGTTCTGTGTCTTAGCTCCTCTGTGCCTCAGTTACCTTATCTGTGAAATGAGATGACAGTATTACGACATCATGTCTTCATAAGATGGTGCGATTACTGAGGTTAGCCCCAAAGTGTGGCAAGCAGTAAGAGCTCAATAAAAGTTAGCTTGTTAATTTTTAGTTGGAGTAGAGCAGATCTCCCTGGGGATCAGGGAGATGTTCTCAGAGGATGTGACATAGCAGAAGGATGAGCGGGAGTTCACCAGGGGGAAGGTGGGAGTGTCGCAGGCCACAGGAAGCAGAGCAGAGCAGGTGGGAAGGGAGGAGAAGAGGGCGGGGCTTGGCTCTGAGCTCTGGTTCTGGTTCCTGGGTCCAACCTGTTTGTCTGGCAGACCCTGTTCTGAGTCCATCCTGTTGGCCACGACCCTGTGGGTGCCTGAGGACCCAGGGGCCAGCTCCCTTCTGTGCTGGCCTGCTCTTGCCCGACACACCCCACTTCAGGTCCCCAGGTCCCAGGAGCTCTGGGGTGGGCTGGTTGGTGCCAGGTGGGACTGAGAGCTCATTGGGGAGCCTTTCTTTTTGAGTCCTCTTCCAGCCCCAGAAAAATCCAGGAGCCCGGCGACGGGGCCACAGCCTCTACCGCGAGGGGGCGCCATGGCCCGATTTGGTGCTACAGGTATGGGTGGAGCGCAGCCCTTCACGCTCCGCCCACGCTATGCTGGCTGTCTAGGAAGGGCGGGGCGTTGGGGGAACCGGCTCTCGACCTTGCCCTAAAGGAGGGGAGACGATTGCCAGGCCCACGTCGGAAGGGGTGTGACCGGAAGGTACAAGTGCCTTGGGAATGAGGAGAGGAGGCGGCCAGGGAAGGCTGCACACAGAAGTGGCCCCGGAGCTAAATCCTGAAAGCAGGGGGCAGGGAGCGTGCGAGGGCCTGGAGGTGCGTGTCTGGGCTGCTCCTGAGGCGGGGCTGCTTAAGAAGCCGCGGAGGCCAGGTTGCCATAAAGATGGGGTTGTGGGGGCAGGGCCTGTGCAACGGCTCACAGCAGGTGGCTGGGCTGGGTTGGGGTAAGAGAAGGAAAGAATGGAACAGGGGAAACCAGGGAGGGGACACCTCTGAGGTCCAGGTGGGCAGTGAGGGCCAATCTCACTGAGCCCATTCCTGGGGCGTGCCTGTGAAGGTCAGTGTGAACCTGGTGTGCAGCTGACGTTTGTCAAGCACTTGCTGTGTTGGGGGCTGGGCTGTGCCCCGTCCCATTAGTTCCTCACAACCCCCTCGGGTAGACGCACTTATGGTGGCCATTTAACAGACGGAAAAATAAGCTTTGTGGAATTTTGCAACTTGCCCAGAGTCACTCCGCTAGGCTTGACAGCTGTGAACCACATCAGGTCCCGCACCTGGTGGGGGTTTGGGGCCCTCAGAGTACCTTCCCTTCTCCCTCCTCCCTGGCTGGGGGTCCAGGGGCCCAGGGGCCCAGCTTAGCCTCGCCCTGGGGACTGGCCTAACCCTGCTGGGCTCAGGCTCTCTTCCCATTATCCTGAGAGGCAACTTCCACAAGCCTCTAGCCTGATCCAGGGGAAGGTGTCCCTAGCTGGCTCTGGCCCAGGCCTGGTTCAGGTGCCCTTTGCCAGCCAGCTTCTGGCTCCACCCAGGGCTGTGACCTGGCTCGATGCTAGTTACTTGGGGCCAGGTGGCACCCCCCAGCCTGAAGACTTGGGGCTCAGTATGGCAGCATGAACCCTTGAACTAGAGCTGGATGGGGAAGAAAGATGAATTATCGCAGCCCCCTCCCTGGTAAGCCCTCATCCCATGAGGTGATGGCTTTTGCTCCTCGGCACCGCTCAGTTGGCTGAGAGCTATGGTTCCTTTCTCCTCAGGAAGCTGCAGTCTGATGGAGAACGTGGTTATGGTGGGTAAATGAGATAGGCTTGCAGGCTCGTGCCCCAGCACCTGGCGCGTGGTAAGCGCCTGGTAAATAAATGACATTAGTTTGCCCAATACCTGCACTTCCCCAGGCCCGTCCCCAGAGTGGAAGGGCCAGTCTGTTGGGCTCTGCTGCACTGACTGGGCCTGCTTGCGGGCGGGAGGGGCTCCCGAGGTGAGAGGTTCCCAGGCGGATTTCCTCTCTCCCCATCTCGCACCTCTTTCTCCTTGCCAGCATGCAAGGAAGGGGTGGTAGGATCCTCATTTCCAGGGGCGGCCTGAAGTGTGGGCTCACCAGAGTTCTGCATTTGGGTTTCAGGCCCAGGCTCAGCTGAAAAATTGGCACCACACTTACCAGTTGCCATCGTCCAGAAGGGTTTCTCCCTCAGGACACTGGTGGCGAGCAGGAGGCTGGGCCCATCACCCCCAAAGACCCCTACCTTAGCGGGTTATATTTTTACTGTTGAACGAGATGCCGTATATGAAAATGCCTTGCACCGTATACCTGGCCCCCGTGGTTCCCAAATCTCAGGGGTAGAGGCAGAACAGCTGGCCGATAGGCAGGTGGCCTTCCGCAACAAAACAGAAGGAATGGCTCAGCGCCCCGGCCCCAGGCCCTTCAAGTTCAGGGTTCCCCTTGGTTATTTAGCAAACCTGGGATTTTTTGAAGCCACAGCTTGCAGTCCCCAACGCTGAGAAAGGGGAGAAAGCCACAAGTCGCCTCTCTTCACTCCTCTTGTTGGACTTGGCTTTCATCAGAGCTTGATGGTGGGACCCCAGAGGTCCCTGGAAAAGAGTTTGGTGCCGAGTCCTAACTGTCCCAGATGTCCCAGTGCTAACCTGATCAGGTTAGTGTCAGTCCTATGGCAGGGAGTGGAGATGATGGCCTTTTGCTTGGGATTAATTCAGCTGACAACTACTGATGAGTCCCCCAGCCCTGTGGCGGCCCTAAGACACAGCCACCCACTGGTAGCCCTGTGCCCAGCACATGGGTTATTAATATGTGATTCCCCACCCCCACGAGGCAGTGAGGTCAGAGACCTCTATCTTGTTTACCATCATATCCCCAGTATACAGTAGGTGCTCATAAATGTTTGGTGACAAATTAATGAGTGAAATGAATGCCTGAAACACTGTCCCTCAAAGCATCCTCAGTCAGTGAAGGAGACAGGAATGTAACCAGCAATCAGAACTACTGAATCTACACTTTCAATGGGTGAATTGCCACTAGACTCATCGTGATCACTTTGTATAATTAACTACTATCCTGTATACCTAAAACTAATAAAATAACACTGAATGTCAACTCTAATTGAAAAATTAAAAGATAAATGGATAAATTGTCTGGCATGTGAATTATCTCTCAATAAAGCTATTTGAAAAAAGTGTAGGACTAGCTGTTATTAAAATTGGGGAAGTTATGGGTAATGAGAATATATTACATCTTATAATATTTCTACTCCTATGTAGTCATTACAAAGTAATCTGAATGCCTAATATGGTGAGGAACTGGTGGTCAGTTAGGTTTAAGAGAAATAAAGGATTTCATTCACTAGACCAGAGAGAGAGATACATAAACATACATGATGCAGTCCATTCATTCTACAGAGCATTTATTGAATGCTTATTCCAAATTGAGTTTCACCAAAAATGTAGCAACAGTGATGAGAGTGTGTCTACAAAGTAATATTTTAAAAGATAAGAAAATAAAATTCAAATGAAACCTTAATATCGTACATTTAAATATATTTCAGAAACTTAATTTCTTTGACTTTATATAAAATGTCTATATTGTCAACTATCTTTTTTAAAAAGCTAACTGAATAATCAGAGTACGAGTGATACAAATTATAACCAAACTTTTTATAAAACAAGATAAAAGCACCAACTACTTCTAAAGAACAATTTACTAGATCATCTGCTTCCTAAGGAGCCCAAAAGTGAATTGCAAAGTCAGTAAGGAAACTCTTACTCAAAATATGTGTAGCAAAGCAGTTGTTTTGAAGTAACAACTTGACAAAATGTGATGGGAGTAATCTGGTTATAAAGGCTTTTTGAATTTGTTGAGAAAATAAGAGATTTTAACTTTAATTCTAGAACATGTAATTTATAATATTTAACTTATTGTTTGGAATGAGACACACTAAATTTTGATAGATCTTGCCATAGAGGCTTAAAAACAACTGATAAAAGATTCTCTTAGAATTCAAAAGTGGGTAGGAGGGGTTGGCCTGGCCTGTGGGGTAAACAGATGAAGCCATGTGTCCCCACCCCCTGCTTACTATTAGGTGGGAGGAGACATGTCTCCCTCCTTAGACTGTGGTGAGGGTTCAAGGCCAATGCTGCCCCAGGCCCAGCGATTGGCCCGAGTAGGTGCTCAACACAGGTGTCCTCTTCCCTCTGGCCTCTTTAGGGCCCACTAGTTACCAGAGCGGAAACGCACTTACCAAGGGATAGGTAGGCTGTGGGGGGGTTCAGGGGACAGAAGGAAAAGGTGACCCATGGCATCTAGGACAGGCGCCCAGGCTTCTCCACGGATCTGGAAACAGAAAACCTCCCCAACGGTAATGAAACAGTTGTCTTAAGTGTCATTCTCTCTCGAGAGAGAACATCTTAATTGGCTTAACCTGGGTCATGCGAGGTGGGGGAGGGCAGGCCAAGACTACATTGCACAGAGGCCACATGGAGGGGGTAGCACCAGGAGGAGGGACCTTGAGGCCAAGTCCGCGCCTGCTCCACCCCACCAGCGGTGGAGGGCCCCAGGGGCCTGCCACGCAGCAGCTGCTTTATCAGTGGTGTGAATGAATGAGACGATTTGGAGGCAGGGATTCTTAAAATCTGAGGTCCCAGAAGGGCCTCAGGAAGGACGCCAAGAACTGACTCAGCAAGACCACGGCAAGGGGGCAGTGACAGGGAGACAGGGAATGCCCACCCAGTTATCCACCTGAGCCCTCATACCCGTGGAGATGAAGACCACCACCCACCGTGGTGGTGCCAGGTGAGTCCATGTAGAACCCAAACCCGAAGACAGACTCCCACCACCCCAGCTGACCAAGGCTGCCTCTCGTTCCGTTAACCAGTACCAAAAAAGCCGCAGGAAGCAATCTAGTGAGCCCGTGTGCGTGTGCGTGTGCGTGTGCGTAGCGGGCAGGGCGGGGATGCTCTGCTGCTCCCAGATCCTGGGAGTCTGCCACCCGACGCTGTGGACTCAGATTTCTACTCAACCCTCCAGAGCTTTTTGGTCCCATTTCCTTTGCCTCCTTTCTCGCCTCAGGCCAGCCACCTCTCCAGCCTCGGCGGGAGGAGCTGCATGAGTGGCTGAGGTGGTCCCAGAGACCAGGCTACAAACACTCCTCTCTGCCACTTGCTTCCTGCTGCCCCTCACCTAACGAAGTTGGTACCAGAGACTATTGTTCCCAATCTCACCAGCCTGACTCGGCATCAAAAAATGAGCAGTGACGGCTCCCATGGAAGATTCTAGAAGGCAGCATTGAGTGGGCCCGGCATGTATCAGTTAATTGCTGGGTTTAAAGGTTTTGAACACTCAATCAAAATGAAGATCACTTATTCAGCACCTTCTCTGTGCCAGGCCCTCTGCTAACACAACCCCATGAGGTTGTCATCCCTATTGTCCACATAAGAAGTCTCTAAGTCTGTCCCACCGAGTCCCACAGCTGGAGAGTGTAGAGTGACAGCGAGAACCTCCATTCTCTCCAACCGTCCTCTTCTTCACCTGGCTCTGAGTGCAGTGGTTTGTTCCTATGGTACTTTGCACTCAATAAAGAGGTGCCTCATTTGGGAACTTTTCCATCAGACAAGCAAAGAGAACCTAAGACCAAGGAGCCACGCTCAGGGGCGCCCAGGATCCAGGCACCTCAAACTGGAAGGGCTAGTAGCCAGGGTGTGGGCCCTACTGGCCGGCCACACAGCCACCCAGGTGTCAGCCAGGAAAGCGTGGACTCTACAGCTCTGCGAGGCCCTCGGTTCCCTCACATTGCGAAGGGCTGTGGTGAAGGATGATGGCGTTAGGTGTGTGTGCAGACATACCTGCAGTGGGTGTTTGCTAAGATGAACAGAAACCAGGGGAAAGGGTGAGGAGAAGCAGAGATGAAAGGCCTGGGGACCTCCCGCCGCATCACACCTGGTTTGTTAAGTGGCCCCAGCGTTTCAGGGCACGTGGGGCTGGAATCTGCATGGAGTAGGGGGCCAAGAGAAGCAGCTCTGGGGCTCTGCACAGGCCCGCTCTTCTCACTCCATGAAAAGTCCCACACTTCCTCTGCCCAACACCCTGCCGAGGCCTGTTGTACGTCCCCACCTGGGATCAGCCCTGAGACCAAAGCCACACACGCTTGGAAAGTGAGGCAGGCAAGAAAAAACACAAGGCCAGTGCTCACTGCGTCCCAGTTTCTTTTTATTTTTTTTTCATTTTTTTTTTCTTTTTTCTTTTTTTTAAGTATGGAAGCTCAAGTATAAGATGTAGATTTTTTTTAAGCTTTACAAAAAAACAAAATAAAACAAAAAACTCCTTTTGCATTCCATAAAAATTGACAGAAAAGCACCTGGCCAGAAGAGCAGAACGGTCCGCAGGCCCCACCCTCGCACCCCACAACGTGGTCTCTGTGGGACAGGGTCCAGTCTGTGTAGGACAGTGCTGAGGGCCACCTCTCCTTTCTCCCAGAACTGTCCCCTGCCCCCCCACCCCAACCCCAAGCAACTCCCAAACACACGTGGAATCTGATTTCCAGTTTTCTATCTTTCACACACCAGTTATTTCATAAAATTTTTTTGTTTTACATTTTTTACACCAATGTAACAAAAAGGTGGGAGGGGAAGGGAGACAAGGCTGACAGACAGTGTATTTTATGCCTATAAATGGGTGGTGGTAGGGGACCCAGGGGGCTGGAGCAAACAAAACACACATGGTCTCTATGGAAACATTGAGTTTTGATAGCAAAACGTGGTGGGAAGCAGGCCTTGGAGACGGAGAAGGGTGTTTAGCGGCTTTATTCTCAGGGAGAGATGGCGCTGTGCAAGTCGATGAAGCAGGTTGTCTGTGTGACCTGTCAGGGAGGGAGGGGACAGGGACGGGAGCAGAAACGAGATTTCTAAGAAAGGGATCTAATGAGTGCGTGGCATGTCCGGTTAGCGTGAAGCAGGAGGTTTAACACTGCTGCTTTCTCTTCAAAGCCTCCACCAGGTCATTCTTAAGAGCTTCTTGTTTTGATTTGTCTGCAAAAGTCTGCACAGACCTGCCAGGGAGGAAAAGAACTGTTAGCACTAGGCTGAACGGGAAGAAGTGTGGCTCTGAGGGGCCGGGGGCCGCTGCGCTGGTGCCTGGCTCTGACACGCTGCTCGTGAGCGCCACCTCCTGGGGCGAGGGTCTGGGTCACAGGTGGGCAGCACTGACCCTCTCCAGAAGCATGAGCAGTGCCGGACAGGCGCGGAGGGGGCACAGAGCCTGACGCCCACACCCTCGGCACCTCCCCGGGCACTACTGGGGAGGCGCACAGCCCACCTGGACAAATCCTCATCTCTGTGCCAGGCTGGGGGTGACTTGGCTGAAGCCGCCAGAACCCTAACCCACTCCTCTGGGTACAGGTCCCAACGGGCCAAAGACCCTCAGTGTTTCAGAGCAACTGCAGACTGAGGTCAGGGGCTCTGGGTCACGAGGCCCTCACTATAAAGCTTCGCCCCCCACTAAGCCCCTGCCCAGCACCAGCGCAGGTGGATGGCGCCCCACTCAGCGAGTGTTTAAGAACCAGCGCGCCTGGACATCCGAGCACACCGGTTCACGGCCAGGGCAGCACGTGAACGACAAGTACTTTTAGGCTTCTGCTGTAAGGCACCATCAGCTGTTAACCCGGCCAAGAAAACCCCTCAGCCTGGGACTGAGGTTAGTGGCCCTGGGTCCCTGCTGTCAAGTCCTGTACCCGTGGGGATGCTAACACTCGTCCACAAAGCTAACGATGGAGCTTCGTAGAGGTTGTACAATTTACACGGCACTTTTCACACACATTTCTCACTTAACGCTCACAGGCATCCTGGAGGAATCTTAGTACCATTCTCAATTTATAGATGAGGAAACTGAGGCTCAGAGAAATGCCCCTGGCAACGACTCGAAAGCCTACTTTTGTCAAATTTACCCAAAGTGTTGGTTAACCAAGAAGTTCTTGAACTATTTTTAAACTTTCCATAGTTTCGCAGCACTGGAAAGAAAGGGCAGGAGCCTGCCTCTCAGGGATGCTGTGGACGGCAGGCCCCATGGGAGCCTCAAGTGTGATACCGCTGAAAAAGAATGGGAAGGAGGGATCAAAAAATAACCCCGAATGCCGAAAATGGGTGAAGTGAGATGAAGCAGGACCCAGGAGAAACGACAACATCCCAAGGTGAATTCTGGCTACTGAAACCTGGAAAAATCGCAGGCAGTATCCTCAGAAAGGGGAGAGAGTAGAATGGAATAGACAAGATTTTGAAAGAATCCATATACATCTGGGAAAATGCCCATGAGAAATGACAACGTTTGTAGCTGCTGTTGCTGATATACACATTCCTGAATATTGGCCCTGGATCACCCCTGGCTCTGTGGCAGTCCAAAGGGAGGGTTGGACCCAGCCATGGTGGCCCTTGGGCTCCAAATCTCAGCTGGTCCGCCACGGGATTCCGGAAAATCTCCCGATGGGAGGTTAACGTGACCGGCGAGAGGATGCGGCAGGCGAAGCGGCAGCTGGCAGGGTTCCTGGCCTGTGGTGATGCTGGCTCTTTGGGGGGAAGCCAAGCAAACCAGATCCCGACCCCCCGCAAAGGAGCAAGTTCCAGAGTTAGAACTAGAGTTAGATCAGCTAAGAGAGGTTAGGCTCGGAATGGCTGGAGGTTCAGGAAGCAGGGCACTTACTCAGGGGACAGAGCTTGGGGAGGTCACGGCCAAGCAACCTCGAGCCAGTGTCTGGAGGGAGCACTAACTCACTGTGGGAAGGATAGCGTGTCCTGGACAGACGGGGTGCCAGGCTGCCCACCACTACCAAGAAAGCTTCCAGCAGGTAGCCACAGGGCTGGCCAAGGCCAGGGATCCAGAAGACTCTACATGCACTCTAAAAGCTGAGAGGCGGGGGTGAAAATGGCACTAGCATCGAACACCTCAAAAAAAAAGGGGTGCATCCTCAACACCGGTGGGTGCATACGTGGTGGTCCCAGCATGAGGCAGGAGGCTGACAAGTGCCTTGGCCCTGAAGTTGGTGCACACAGCTCAGACCGACCTGCTCAAGTCCCATGAACGCAGAAGAGTGGCTGCGCCTGGCTCCATAAACGCCGCCCCCCCCATCCCGAGCCTCTTCTGGGTTGGACCCCTGGTGTCCAGTCCCTGGGCCCGGGGGTAAGCCCCGAAGCCCTGGCTCTGCGCCCTGCCTGGCCGGGTTTCCAAATGCCTCATGTGCAAACCAGTACCCCTCCTCCTCTCTGGAGATGCTGACTGTTTTCATATCTGTCACAAGCTCAACTCATGGTTCTCGGCCATTATCAACAAGCAAGACTGTTTTCCTTTCCGTCAGTGTAAGGCGTTTAAGACAGCTGCAGCTCGTTAGGGGCGGGAGGTTATGCTGGTCTAGGCAGCTCCAGCAGCAGCCGGTCTGGGTGCCTCGGGCCGGCCTGGGGGACTGCAGCAGCCCCTACGCTGTGTTCCGTCCTCAGACGAGGCGATATACCCCTTTCAAGTCAGCCAGCCCCAAAGAGCCAACATCCCACGAGAAGGGGCTAATTTAGCTTCTAGAATCCTTGGTGGAAAAGTTGGGGAGGACCCGCTGCACACAGAGATTCTGGGAGGCTGTTCCGAAGCTTGTGAGCGAGCGGGAGACGACGCAGACCCTGGCCCTGCGGCCATCAGAGCAGCGCAGACAGGCAGCTTCTGCTGGAGGCAAAGCTGGTCCCCCGACTGGACTTCTACAGGAGCCAAAGCCAAAGCCACCCATCTGCCCCACACCCAACCCCGCCCAGAGTGCAACACACACACATCACGCACGCGGCACGGGTCCCTGTTACGTGGGGCTGAGTCTACACGTTAATGTGGCAGCTCACGGCGGTGAGCGGACACGGGGGTTAGTGGTGGTTTAAGTGGCCACGCGGCATCAGCCGGACCGGCGGGGTCTCGGCAGGTTGGTGAGTCCTGTTTAGTGGGGAGGGTGCTCACGCCTCTCGGGCGGGGTACCTGGATCCGCCTAATTATCAGGCTGGATGTGGATCTGGCGCTGGGTCAGCACTTGGGAAAGCTCCCTCTGCAACTGCTGAAACTTGGGGTTGTCAGGGATAACGTCAACAGATCTACAGAGAGCGTCAGAGATGAGCGCGGATGGAGGGGAGAGGACAACCCCAGGCTCGGAGCGCGAGGGCGGGGGACAGCTGGGAGGAGACACCGGGGAACACGCAGGGCAGAAGGCGACCGTCGTCAAGGCCATGGCCACTCTGGGCCGCAGTGCGGAGGCTGCAGCACTGAGCTCTGCGCTGGCAGTGGTCGCGGTGTCCAGGGGCTCACAACCACCCCCCACGGGCTCTGCGTCTCTGTTTTCTGGGCCAATGCCCGGGTTGGGAGGGTGTGTTTGCTACGGATGGGGCGGTGGCCCCAGGGCAGGAAGCTCTGGGCACAGATGACTTAGGAGGCCATAGGCTCGACAGCCAGAGTACAGCAATGTTGCCTGAGGGGGAGAGTAAACCCACCAGGAGCCAGACCAAGACCCCCAGAGGCAGGGTGGGGACAGGGAAGGTGAGGGTCCAAAGGGGAATTCTATTTCAAAACTGTATGAAGAGACTACAAATCTGTGAGTGAAAGAGTCATAAGCTAGGGCAGCCCCCAGAGCGGCTTCCCTTCTGTCCCGAAGAGAGAGACTTGTACCCGGAATGGGGGACCGGAGGGCCGGAAGCCAACGGGGAGCTTGTGCCCGTGGGCTCACATGGCGTGTCAGGCTGCAGACTACAGACTCTATCTCATCTGATGCCTGCAGCAGCCCTGCCTCCCTGACCCGACACGGCCTCTGAGATAAGTGACTCGTCCACGGTCACACAGTTCAGGGTGGCAGACTGTGTATAAGATCCTGGCATCCTGCTCTACCATCGCAGACCTTGGGGACCTGGAGAGCCTGTCTCAGCCTCAGAACTGAGGGCCTGGGGTGAGCGAGACGGGCAGCTCAGGACCCTCGCCACGGCCAACAGAGCCCTGGCACAGGACATCAGAGTAGCGAGGGCTGGGGCCCCCTCCAGGCAACAGCAGAGTGAAGGGCTCTTTCTGTAGAACACACTCTGCCCTGATGCCCAGCCGACCAGAGGCAGCCAGGCAGCCTGGCGTCTGCACTCCCTCACGTGTCTTAGGGTCTGTCTGAAGGGCTCTTTCTGTAGAACACACTCTGCCCTGACGCCCAGCCGACCAGAGGCAGCCAGGCAGCCTGGCGGTCTGCACTCCCTCACGTGTCTTAGGGTCTGTTTGGAGGTCCCCTCAGATCTCACAGCCAAAGGAGCTGGGCAGGTTTTTCAGATGGGACTGACCCCTGGGGGCCAAGAGGCAGCTGACTTTAGGGACAAGGGCTTCGATGGCTGTTAAGGTAACATCCTCCAGATGACAAAAATCGTGGAGGTTGACACCGATATCTATCAAGAGTGCAAACCATGTACAAGGTGCTTTACCTTTCAAAATCTGCATAACAATCCTATAAAGTGGGTACTTTAGCTCCAGTTTACAAATGAAAACGCTGAGGCCCAAGACGACGGTTTTGAAGCAAGAGACCTACGATTTAAACCCGCGCCCTTTGGGTTCCCAAAGCTTGCACTTTGGGTGCATTACCTCAGCCCATTGACGATGTCCTTTGTTTTTCCGAAGTAGATCTCATTCAGCGTACTTCTGATTTTGTTTTCCATGTCCTGGGAAGGGAGGTCAGTCAGACAAGATGGCAAATAGTCGGGAGTCCTGAGGCTCACCACCCTCCCACCAGCTCACCCCTGCAGTCCCCGCTGTGACCACAGGGAGGAGGCACGTGACTGCGCCAAAGCCGGGTGAGCGAGGCCCTGGAGGCCAAGACCCCACCTATGATTTGCGCTCTGCTTGCTTTCCCGTCCACAGGCACACAGGAAGCCAGTACCCAGGTACTGGCGGCCAAGGCTGACCATTACTAGGAGCTGGTCTAAACCACATCACCGTCCCTCAGCCTTCCACCGGTTTTGTGAACATGTCTGACACTGGAGAGTACCTCTCCTCCTTCTGAGCAGTGTGAAGGGGAGAAGCAGCAACCGAAGTTGCCGCTGAGCCCACTGGCGGTCCAGGGACCTGTGTCATTTGCAAGCTCAGGTCCCCACTTGCACTCAGTGGACCGGGGGAGACTTAGGGCTTCCTGAGCAGAGCCTTCTGGGAACACGCGTTTGGGAGGTGGTAGAGGGAGTGCAGTTAGAGCTGAAACCTGCTCAAAGCCAGATTAGAGGGCTCGGAAAACACGAGGCCAGGGAAAAACAGGAGAAATCCGCCACTGGCTGCTACAGCGTTGGAAGAAAGAAGGGAGGACAGGAAACTCGCCAACAGGCTTTAGGGGCACGCGAACCACAGCCGCAGGAGTGAACCAGAGCCCAGAAGGCCCACTCACCTCTACCAGGCGCCCGATATTGGCTATATGTGGGGAGGAGTCACTCACAGTTTCATCTTTCTCCATCTGCAAAAAAACAAAAACAATCCTCCAAGTCAGAGAGAGCCAGGTGCTCCCTGAGAATGGCCGCCTCTGCTGACAGCATGGCCCCTCTACAGTTTGCATTTTTCCTGCTGGCAGCTCTGGAGCCAGCTGCAGGAGGTGCAAGGCCACTTTACCAGTAGGGGGACCTAAGCACAAAATGACTTAAGTTTCAGGTCATAAACAGCCCGGCCAGCAGAAGCCTAGCATCCCCGTCTCTGGGGAGAGTCTTGTGCTGCTGCCCTTGGTGCACCAGACACCCCCACCAAGCCCACAGCAAGGAGGGCAAAGGTGACACCCTTGTCAGGCACTGACTCATCCAGGGCCAACCCGAGAAAACGTGCTCGGTCTGTCTTGATACCGCTGCACACAGACACAGGCTGCTTGTACCACATAGGGTGTCCAATGCGCCATGATGCTGCTGTGCCTTGACTTCCTGTAATGGCAGCCATGCAGGGAGGGACCGACAACCCCGGGCAACAGGAGGCTCAGAGGGATGAACTGATTTGCCTAAGATCACACAGGCAGTAAGGGCAGAACCTGCATCAAACCCTTTCTTATTCCAGAGCCTGCATTCTTTCTGCTCTGTGAGGCTGTGGGGTGGCCGAGTGACAGAGTATATGAATCCTAGGGACACCATGGAGTGGGGTTTTGGGGGAGGTGGAACCCAGCAATTCAAGTCTCAGGCAGAGTGAGTTTGGGCCCAATAAATAATCAAACCTGCTTTTAAAAGGAAGGGAGACGGCGAGGGAAGAGGGCGGATCCCGACGTGAGCACTACCGACCGAGGTCTCCTCACTTTCTCTCTCTGTTTAAGGCTTATTTCCTTTGCAAGATTCTACATTCCTTACGGAGAGATATACCTCACAGGGTGCCTAGAAAACTGGTAAGCACATAAATACTCACGGTTACTAAATTGAAAATAAAAACAGGTATCACTACCTCTGCTGTTGGAATAAAACAGAGAGGTTAAAACAGGTAATCGGGACGGGATGAAAACATAGGAACAGTGCCAGGAAGGCTAGAGCTCCAAAGAAATTCGGACTGGTAAAAAAAAGCAAAGAGAAGGCAGGGAGGCTAACTATCGTCAGAACTGAAGAACAGGGCAGATGCTCGGGGTGGGCGGCGGTGTGCGTGGTCGGTGTGTGTTAGATGTCTCTGCTGCTTCTCACCTATTTTTACTTTTCTTCCAGGGTCAGACAAATCTGATTCTGTGATATTGCGATCCTTAAAAAATTACAACACACTTCAGAGGTGCCAGGACACCAGAAGACAGAGGCCGACCCTGCTTTCATCAAAGAAGGAAGATCAGAGTTGGGAGTTAAACACTAGTTTGACACTGATCCAGACAATTTTTGATGGGACCGTTAAAAATCATCTGTTGGCACATTTTAAAATCTGCTATCTCTAGGAGCCAGCATGGGCTCGCTATGAATAAGTTCTGCCCTGGGAGTCTCTGACTTCCTGTTTTGGTGGGGATGCTGGGCTGGAAGCACAGAGAGCTTCTCTAACAAGATCACAGCACTTAGGCAGGTTCCCTTCGACTATTCTGTGGCTGTGGCTAAGGTGTGGGGCTGGACGATGGCCACTCAGATGGAGCCTCTGCGGCATCCTGCAGGATACTCTACCTGGCACGGGGGCCAACCTGTTTGCTCTACCAACAGCATCAAGGGTCGAGATGATCAAAAGAATCACTACGGAACGCAGAAACATGCGTGGGTCAGCCACTGAACACGCAGCTACCAAGCACGGAGTGCGTCCCACGTGGCAGTCAGCTAAGCCCATTTAGACTTCACAAAAACCTACTTCAAACTGAAGGATACTGAAGCTTAAAGATGTCAAGATCTGCCCAGATCCCAGTACTGTTGGACTCCAATGCCTCTGCCTTCCTGCCCCAGAAAGCTGATCACATACGCCTGGGCAAATGTAAACTAGATACTTCGACTCGAACATTAATCTCACTGACTACAAAATGGGGGATGAGTCCTGTGAAGAGACTTGCGGTTTTTAGATGATTTCAGTCCTGACAAGACTGCGATATGGATACCACGACAGCTTTCATGCAACTTCAGGGACAGAAACAAAACTATTACTCGTGGCCAGAGCAGAACCTGTAGCCGAAAGGTTCCATGACTCACTTGGGAAGGCAATGGTCCCTCTGTTCTGTCCTGGCCACATCTGTAGGGCTGGATTCAGTCTGGGACGCTGGATTTTAAGAGAGCCATGTACAAGCTAGAGTTCACCTGCTTAAAAGGTCTGAACACTTTGACCCCAAGAAATGGGAAAGAACCATGGATACTTCAGGCTGGGGGGTGGGGGGACTCGGGAGATCCCAGCAGGGAGAGCAGACCCAATTCATGTCACTGCCAAGGGCAGTGAGGGATCATCGCGAGATGATAGAGCTGTCTGTAACAGGCATCTGCTGACAGAGCAATGAGCCCCAGGTCGGTGGAGGTGTCTGAGGAGAAATGGGGTGCCACTTGTCAAAGATGCTACAAGAGGGGTAGAGTGACAGTCTGAAACCTATGGCCTCGCAAGTCTCTTCTATAGTTAAGAGACAAACCTTTGCAGAACAAAGAAGTCTGGTCCCAGCAAGACTGTTTTGCTGAGAACGGGTCAAATGGAAAAGAGGAAGAGAGATGCTATAATGCTCGGCCTCTCTGTCCCCTAACCAGGCCCAATGGTCCCAGGCCAGTGATCCTGGGGAGTCCTAATCTTCACAGAGACTCCTAGGGTCCCCGCAAAACAGGAGAAGTGAGAGTGCCCATGAACTTAAAAGTATAGCTATTCCCTGCCAGTTCAGGCCTAATAAACCAGCCACCCGGGGCAGAGCCTCAGTGTTTGCTGGAACCTCATCTGGCTTTAGCGAAACCCTGAGCTTGGACAAGTGGAGCTCACTGAGGGCCTCATTTTAAACGAGCACCAAGAGCCCAAAGTGAGGCCAGGACTGTTGACAAGGGCTCTGGGTCATCAGGGCACATACTCACATGACCAATCCAACCCCTTGGAGAGGAAAGGCTGAAGCCACTGGAAAAGCCACTGGATGCTCAAAGGGAAGAGGCGGGAAGGGGTGGAGGGAGGGGAAAGCGAGAGACTTGGTCTCCAGCAGACTAACGCCCCAGGAGGACACAAGGGGCCCCTTAAGCTTGTGGCAGGGAATCTGAACCCAATGAACAGGCCCAGCAGGGACCAGGGGAGGCAAGGAAGAAGGTGGGCGGGGTGCTGGGGCAGAGGCCTTGGCACACACGGACAAGTGAGCTCCCCGCTCACAGCCCTGCCGACTCCCTCCACACACACCTGGTCAAGGTCAGCCTGCTGGCAATGCTGACCCACCAAAAATAGAACTACTTTTGCAATGCATATATTATTACATCCTTATGAGAGTGGCTGCCAGGGGAAAACATTTTTATGTGCTGTGGCCACACAGATGTTCCGCAAAGTGGTTCCAACCGAGTCTAAAGTCTGACTGGCCCACTTGTCCCTATCAAGTACAGGGATGTGAGAAGGACACAGGCAAGGATTTGGAAAGCAGGCTCGTTTCCTCAGAAGGGGTGTACACCACCTCCCACTGCCACACAGCATCGTCTAGGGAGTACAACCTGGAGGGTGGGGCCGTGAAGGAAGCCACCCCCACTCTGCAGCCCAGGGGTAAGGGCCTTGGCCTGTCTAAGCCTTGAATTCCCTTCCCCTACCTCACACTAAATGAGCTAATATCCGCACAGCGCCCAGAACGATGCCTGGCAGAACGGCAGCTGCATTCCCAGGCCTCTTCCGGACCTGGCTCTCGGGCAGGAGCCAGCCACGTCTTCCTGGTTGCTAGGCTGTGCTCGGCTAGGAGCCGGGCCAGAGACCAAGTCTTAATGTGCTGTCAAGCCAGAAGACAGTGGTCAGACAGCCTCTCAAGGAAGGTTTGGCTTGCGCAGTTTCGGACGATTTGAATTGAGCCTAAAACTATATATATTCTAGAAGATGAAAAAGTCTCTGTTTATAAGATATGGGGTAGTAGCAGTAATAGCTATTAGTTATTGAGCATAAACTACGTGTCAAAATGGTTCTGTATTTCTACTCTACGACAATCTTTCCAAATAGCCATTATTAGCTCTATGGTGAAAATGCCGAGTTTCAGGGATGGAAAGTGGTCTGTCCAGGTCACACAGCTGGAAAGGGACGAGGCTAGGATCTGAACCAAGGTCTGGATGATCCCTAAATCTGTTTCCACCATGAGATCTCTTTGTTTAACTTCATCCACCTTCGTTACCAGAAAAATCAAAGACAAACCACAATCCAAGGCTCGGAAATTCTAAGCAGTGTCCATCCCTATCTTATCCGCCCCACCCCCAAAACCCCAAACCTCTCGGATCTGTGGTCCCTTCTTCTCCTGCCTGACCTTCGTGGTGAGACGGCCGCGGGGAGGCAGTCTCACAGCAGCTTTCCTTCTCAGCCAGGCACTGGGTCACTCCACCCCAGGTCATCCGACCCAAACCACACCACTCGAGAAGACGCACTGCTGCAGGATCTCCACCCTGAACCCAGGCGACCTCTCAGAACACAAGGAACATGGCTGTAGCTATAGCTGTGCGCGCCCCGCCCCCCGCTCCCCCAGTGAGAAAGAACACCCTGCCTGGCCCGGCCTCCCTCTGCTCCCCTCCACCTGCTAAAACCCTACTACGTGGCCCAATCGCCAAATGCGAGGCAAAGAAGGCTTCCCTGCGGTGACACTTGGGCAGGTGCCTTGGCTGGAGTTTTGTGCTTGAAGATACATCATGGGGCGCCTACCACTGAGTGGGGAGAGAGCTCGGCTTGCATATCACCGGCCTAATCTCCCTACTTGGCAAAACATTCCACCTTCGCTTCTAAATATTTAGGATCCGAAAAAAAGAAAAAAAATCAAACGAACATCTGCACGGCCTGTCCCCGGTTTGGAAACCTTGCATCTCCTTCCAGAGATTTATGGTCTTGCCTCTTTCCCACGTCTCCGGCTGCCAC